CGGCTTGGGGAAAAGCCGGAAAAAAGCGTCTAGACTGGTGCGATCCTCCGGAATAAAGCCCTTTTCCAGAGGATCTCTTATTCCTACTTTCAGGTCTAGACGCTTTTTTCCAGCTTTTCCCCAAGCCGGAAAAAAAGCGGCGGACATGTTTATTTAAATCCCGCGGGGGATATTTAAATCCCCCGCGGATTTCCCTATTCTGACTTACCTGCTTTGCATGACTTTTCCGGAGAAGGGGCCAGTCTAGACGTAGCCCCCGTGTACTAGGCTTTGTTTATTTTGGCTAAGTAATTTACTTTAATCTGTCTGTGTTCACTGGCAGTCACTTAAATCCTATTTTTAATACTGAATAACTTTTGTTTATTATCAAACCCAGTGTAAATAATTGTTACACTGGGAGGGGGGGAAACACTAACAGCTGTACATATCTCTATTCATTGATAAAGAGAGCAAAGTTATGATCTTTCTCTATGCAAAACTTTTATACAGAGTAAGGCAGATTTACTAGGGATTTGGGCCCTATCTGGGGCTGTGCTCCCTGTAGTTGAGCCCTCCCAGATCTGAGCTGGTGTAGCATCTTTGTACTCAGTAGGGGAGCTGTTACCTCAACTCTGTGCATTTGCTAGGGAAACCAGATCATGTGGCCCAGCAGGACAGGGTGATGGGGCACCCCAAAGGGCCAATCGGTGCGCTCAATGGTATGATCAGCACGTCAGTTGCCAGTCACAAGGGGATCTCTGTGATCCAACCCTCTCAGTCGAATGATTGAAGCAAGCAAGGTGCCTTGAACTTTCACTACCATGCCTGGGTAGACAACCCAAGTCTACCACTCCAGCCCCCACCTCAGAGAGCTGGTACAAGGCAGTACTTGACCACTCCCCTACCACATGCTAGAGTCCATGAAACAGGAGTTCCAGTCCATGCTAGAGTTTGGTGTAGTCAAGAGGTCTTCGAAAGAATGGAAGAGCCCAATTGTCCTAGTCCACACGCTGGACAGGACGTGTCACTTTTGCACTGATTTCAGGAGGGTTAATGTGGTATCTCGCTTCAATGCCTACTGACTGCCATGGGTGGATGAGCTGCCTGGTTCTGGTGAACTGATAGAGCCCGCTGGGGTGGGGAAGGCAGTTTTCTATTTGGACTCTGGTATTTGTCCACTCTTTACTTTATCACTTGCTTAACAAAAGTCTTCACACTACTTGAAAAGCAACAAGGACAGCCCCCCTCCCCCCAGATACCAGAGTCCAAATAGAAAACTGCCTTCCCCACCCCAATGGGCTCTATCAGTTCACCAGAATGCTCGTCAGCCTCCAAGGCACCCCTGCAACATTCCAGAGGTTGTTGCACCAACTCCTCCTACTTAACCTTGAACATGCTGTTGCTTGCCCCAATGATGTGGAAAAACTATAGCTATCACTGGGACAGCCACTTAAACCAGGTGGCAGCCATTTTAAGAACGCTTTGGGAAGCTGGCCTCACCACAAAATGCTGATTGGGTTGGCAAGAGACTACGTCTCAAGGCTAAGCCCTCAAATGAGGCCAGCTATGCCCCCTTTTGGGAAACGTTCAGGCAATTCTTGCCCACCCAGTCCCCATGACAAAAAAGCAGGTCCGACCATTTTTGGGAACTCACAGGCTATTATAGACAGATGCTTCATCCCTGACTTTGCAACTGTCATCACTCTAATGACCATGTTGCTCACAAAGGACCAGCCCCTGCATGTGAGGTGGACCCTTTCAGGGATAGACTTCCGTGTGAATTGCTAATCCCCTCCCTCTTTCTTCAGACTCGTACAGGCGCTTACAGATGCCAGCTCACAAGGAGGCATGGCTCCTCTCAGGCCCAGATGCAGAGGGGAGGCCCCGCTAGTGTACGATGATAATCTATTACATACAAAATGCTGTGTTAAAGAGCATCAAAGTTGCAAAGCCATCTCCCTTGTGCATATACATGGCATAATCCTTAATTACATGATCACATGCTATTTTTCCCCACAGGCAGCCGTTCTCAAGTGGCTAGAGTATGACTTTGTCACAAGACTTAGGTTGTAGTCCAATCTTTGACACTAATTTTCTGTGTAACTTTGGGTAAATCACTCAGTCACTTTGTGCCTCTATTTCCCTGCTGTAAAATACTTAGTAATAATAAAAGCTTCAGATGGGTAGCTGAGTTAGTCTGTAACTGGAAAAACTTTAAAAACAACAAATAGTCTAGCAGCAACTTAAAGACTAACAAAACATGTAGATGGTATCATGAGCTTTCGTGGGTCCTAGTGCAAACAGATGACGATCATACCTAAGGAACTGAGGGTGAAAACCCCACTACAATATACATATCCCACAGCCTACAGTCAGAGGTTATGTCACACTCTCACAAACTCAGGAACCACCTGATCATCATAATATAACAGACTAAACTGGCTACCCCTCTGAAGCTTTTGAACATGGAAGGCACTGTATTCAGCCATATGGAGTGGAAATCCATCAATTACACAAAGAAACTTGCACAGATCGAAACAGACATCATCTTCCTATCCAGGTGCAAACAGATGAACATCATACCTAAAGGACTGAGGGTGAAAAACCCACTGCAATCTACATATCCCACAGACTAGTCACACTCTCGCGAAGAAACTCCGGAAGCAACTTATCAGCATACTATTTTGAAGAAGTGGGTTGTACCCAGGAAAGCTCATGATACCATCTGCATGTTTTGTTAGTCTTTAAGGTGCTGCTAGACTATTCATTGTTATTTTAGTAATAATAGTTATCCTTTTTATAAAGCACTTGGGATCTTCATCAGAAGTGTTACTGCATTGTTAAAAAATCACTGTCCACTCATACTTCTTTAGTGTTATGGCACTTTTCAATTATCTGCAATTGTTATTATTGATTATTTGTATTATGGTAGCACCTACAGATTCCAACTCAAGTTAGGCACTGTTCAAACACAGTAAGAGATGGTGTCTGCCCTGAAAAGCTCGCAGACCAACTCTAAAGACATATATAGGATTCAAGAAAGGAGATGTTTTCAGTGTTTTACAGATGGGAAGCTGAGGTACAGAGAGATTAGGTGAGTAAGTGACACAAGAATCAAAGCCAGATCTCCAGAACCTTAATCCAGCACCTTAGTCCCAAAACCAAATTCTGTTTATTCCTAAACTTATTAGTGACCAACAGAATTACATAAATGCTCCTAATAAAGTATAAGCAGGCAAGAAAATAAAAAGAAGTTCAGAAGTTGATGCATGTAAATACATGTTCTTGAAAAATGATGTTCCCCCTCTCTTTTCAGTGTAGAGATTGACTACATATCCTTACCTTCCCGGATGGCAGTAAAAGGCATTCCTTCCTCTGTCTCCAGACTGATAACTTTCAAAGCCACCAACTGGCCATTTATTCTAAGGGTTGGAGTGAAAGGACATAATTGGACTCAGAAGATACCCATCAGTGTCTAACATGCCAACTAACATTAATCTCTAGGGACTGTTTGGTGCTTTTCCAATAAGGCATTTAAATGCTCTGTCTTAAACTCTGTCAAGCTCATGCCCAGCACAGTTGTAAAGGGGCAGCAAAGATGGTGCTAATTCACCTGAATGGCTCCTCTGATCTTGGGCTGGTTGGTGGCCATTTGGGCACTGGCACGAATTAGAGTTGGCTGAAATAGTCCCCTTAGAACCATTCTGCTAGCTGGTTATCAATGGAATGCACTGGATGCCTAGTCTGCCCTCTCCATGTGCCAAAACCACTCTCCTTGCCTCCAGGCAGCCCTGGCAGCCTCCCACACTGAGGTTATGTCTACACTACAAAGTTAATTCGAACTAACACACGTTAGTTCGAATTAACTTTGATAGGCGCTACACATACAGACTGCTAGTTCGAACTTAATTTGAACTAGCTGAGCGCTTAATTAGAACTAGGTAAACCTCATTCTACGAGGATTAATGCCTAGTTCGAATTAAGCAGTTCGAATTAAGGGCTGTGTAGCCACTTAATTCGAACTAGTGGGAGGCTAGCCCTCCCCAGCTTGCCCTGGTGGCCACTCTGGGCACCACCAGGGAAACTCGTCTGCCCCCCTGCCGGCCCCGGAGCCCTTAA